TGGATTTTGTTTTCCATGGATGAATATTCATGCAAATGTTTAGCCCGTCACCTCAATCAGCTTTTATCGATAAGGCAGGGTTATGCAGAAGAGACTATCAGTCATCTAAGGAAAGAAGACATATCTTCTTGAACAATATGTCATAGACTTTAAAACGGAGATAACCAGTTGGCGACATTTCAAAACATTTTGTACCACAAACTGTGTTAACGCATCAAACTACTCACAGACACTTGAATGGAATCATGCCACAAACTAGCCATAAATGGCCAATACTGACTACTGATATCAAGGGTCAGGTTGAGTTCACCGTTATTATTCTATAAATAAATTATTTAGTCAAAGTAAGTGTACTTTATTGTTGTCGGTCACGTGACAGTTTCATAAATAAATCCTATTTAGCATTGGTTTTCCGCACCAGAACTAGCCTTCTGAAAGGCTAAACGAAGTGTTTTGAAGTTATCACCAGGTTTCAGGTTTCTTCGAGACCATATAAGATGTTTCATAAAGACTATTCTGCTGTCCAAGTGTTCGATCTTAATGGAAACTTTGAAGAATAAAATCAGGGCTGCTGGCATGAGTATTACAATTCCCATGGTAGTATTCGTCACGGACTGATGTCAGTTAAAGAAAGATAGAAAACGTGAGCGCACGGAAAAGTCTGTTCCTACTACCATGAAATCGCTTAGGAGTGTACACGCAAAACTCTACAACAGTTTTAGACCGGGACTTCCAACATCAATTTGTGATATCGCACAACAGTCATTAAATTTCATCGGTGAGTAGTTGTCCTCACAATCGACTTGGCTAACCTCACAGATCGCATGGCAAGTGAGTTACTGTGAGGTTTCATTTACCAAGGATGAGCTGAATAGAACATTCTAAAATACCCAGTCTACTGTCTTGAGCATAATTATGCTCTAGTGGTCTCGACATTCATTATTGTTGAAAACTGTCCACGGATCACTTATATGACACAGAGTTATCGAAAGTCGAATGGTTTTAGAATTTTCATCCCAAGATCAACAAGGTTCATTTCGCTGAATTATATATGGAAACCTGTGCAAACTCAGAGGTTAGAAGAAATGCTGCCAGTCAACAGTAGAGACGTGTCAATCTGCTACATAAAGTAACTCATAGTTGTGATTGAATAATTTGTCACTTTTTCCACTTTTTTGGTCATAGTTTAACATTCTCATCTGTCGATATTTTCGTCTACTTGGCTGATTAGAAGTGGCTAAATTTGGTAATCAACGTTCAAGGTCATCAGCCGTTGGGGTAGAAGTGTTTATGTTTCAGATTTTGATTTATGCTCGTATGTGGACAACATAACTTTATTGAACGATTCGGTAGCCAATAAGATTGCAGCATTCTATAATCTATGTGTGTGAATCGTGAATATGTGCTATCGTTTATCAAATAAAGTCGTTGTCGTCTTCGCAATCACAGGTCAGACTTTGTCTTTTGATATTTGCGTGACTCAGTGAAGAATAAGGTGCTGAGGGGGAATGGTCATATTGGCACTCAGTCCTAGTGTACCACTACGTTCAGTGTCGTTATTACGTACGTCTATATTCCCCTCAGTCACTTCATTGGCGGCCAGGAGTGGGATTCAGGACGCACATTTCGACCCATTTGGGACTTACTCGTCAGCTGAATGTACTCCCATGGCAGTGTCGTTCTCACTTAAACTTGAACCCAGGACCCACCGCTTCAGATGCCAAAGGGGTACCCACTAGGCCACTGGGGTACATCATGTTCAACAAGTATCCTTCACATTTGCAATTTTTCGTCGCCATATAGGGGCGAATTGCCCAATCTCTTTTGGAAGGTGGGCTCATCTCTCCATTTTAATCACTCTTGCCGTATTTCATCTGTTCGGTATGCATATTTTTCGTTTCACGTAATCACCACTTAGACAGAGAATATTCACATGGAACCTGGGATTACTGCATAACGGCGCAACTTGTCACACTTCATATCAGTACTTCAAGGGAGAATGCAGTAAGATGAAAGATGAAGAAAATCAGGTAGAAGGAGAACAAACGGGATAGACGGTTATGGAAAGAGCGAAAGAAGAAATGGGACCATCATGAAATCCTGTATGAAAATTTACCTATCTTACATCACTCAACTTAATTTCGCGACATCATCCAATCGATCTGATATTTCATGGAATAAAAAGGTCTACTCATACTAACTGTGTTCAAGATTTCAGTTGTAGTAAATACTTAAGTATTCATAGAAACACAAATTCATTATTATCAATCTTAAATAATACAAAGAAATGGTTTTACAGGTTTAAAAATTAATTCATCTTAAGAGGGATTACTTTTGCTCAAATCTTCTCTCCAGTCCTAGATGATTCAATTTAGTGGTCTGTGAGAATTTATTTATTCATTTTTCAGGTTGATATTCATCATGCACTGGCATCATTTTAAGAAACATAGGAAACTCGGGAGGACTAAACAGCTATTTCATCCTAGTAGTAGCAGTGCGCACTCATGGTCCAATCAGGGATCGAAGCCAGGACTCTGAGGTTCCGTGGCCAACACGTTGCTATTGGACCACTGGCATTCAGTGAGCCACATTTCATTTTCCTCCCAGTTCGCGATATGGTGCGACTTCTATCCAGTGCCGTCGTTGAGTAACTATCCTTAAGTCTAACTTGGTTTGCCCCGTCGGTCATGACTTCTCTATGGAACTTCGAGAATTTTCGAGTTCTCCACTGGTAAAATTCCCGACTTATTCTGTGTCTTTGACGTAAGTTTTGAAGTCCCGACGGAACATAATGCTTCTTCATAGCTGTAGATGTGTTTTGCTGACGAGCACAACAAGTACGAAAACCGGGTCAAGAAGGTTTCCAACGGATTTACCCAAGTAATCCAGATGATAACTGAAGCCAGTCAGATATAGTGAAAATCACCTCACGTAACATTGAAACGCACTCAGCAACCTTGTATGCATTCTCGCAGTAAGCAACAAATCATACCGATCATGTATGAGGGCTGCACGAAGCTCACTAGATGGAGTGATATCTAAACCTCAAGAGAGCGACTGGTTGGAAGTCGACTTGTAAAAACAGTCAACCATACCTATTTGGCACGGCATTCAATATTCTCATACATATATGACACACAGAAGATATGAAGAATCGAGCGAGTTGTCATCAAAAACCTAATAAGTAACATGCGTTCAGATGAATATCCTGAAGTTTAGATGTAAAGTCATGACCAATGGCATCAACCAAGTCGGATATGAAAACAAGTACTCAACGAAATCGAACCGATAATAGTAGGGAATTGTGGGCAATTGGATTGGTTGACTTCCACACAGAGACAACTTATGGTTCTGTGTTCGATTCTAAGTGGTGCACGGTTTCGGCCAACTGATTAGTCAGTGCCCCTACATTCCTTCAAATGGTCCATGATGAGTCCTACCCTAAAATAAATCGATCCCCACAAACCACCAAATTAAGTTGCCTAACATGAGCATCTTCGTTATATGACATTAAATAAAGCCTATAACTTAATTGATCCTGATATTCGGCTTGATATTCACATTCATCCACTTAGAAGGATACCATGGGTTGTACTGTGTTCTTCAAGCTGGATTGGTTAATCATGAAGCTTTCATCACCTTTCGACATGACATCATCAGCAGTGATGCAGAGATTAGAAAACATTTTTCTACCTATGATTAAACCAAGTATTCCGATTCCCTATGTGAACAACACTTGTGTCATCATTTAAAAAGGTGATATAGAAAACAATCAGTTTGATCAACAACGTTCTCAGTGACATCAAGTTCAAAATGGAGAAAAAGTCAAACAACCAACCACCAGTCCTCAATGTTCTAGTCAGTAGAACAATGTGCCACGAAACTGGAAACACAAGTCGACAGCAAGCCAACACAAACTGACCAAATCCACAACTACAGTAGCAACAACGCAACAACACACAAGATCAGTTGCCTGCAGACTCTATTCAGAAGAGTGAGAACAGTGAAGTACAACAACAAGTTCACGGAGAAAAGAAGAAAACTACGTGGTGCACATTCCTAAAGTAGAAGAACGGCTACCCACGAAAATTTATCACAACATGCCTATCACGTACATCACCAACCACTAAGTCATCGACAGAAATCAATAAACGCATCATCCTACCATGCATAAAACAATATGTCAGAAATCACAACAAGATTACTCACACCACTTGGTGGAATTGGTGTGGCTCATAAACCAACAAATTACCTCCAAACACCACTAACCAGACCAGAGGACACACCAACCAGAGAACACAAACCAAACATCATTTACAAAATCAACTGCAATAACTAGATGTAGTCAACACTACATTGAACAAAGTGGTCACCCTCTTCACTCTCGTCTACATGAACACCAATCGGCCATTAAACGTCACACATGACATTTCATCACTCATTTCAATCCACATGGATAACAACTATGGACATGAATTCACTCTCGACAATGTGAAAATCTTGGACGGAGAGAGGAAACACAAAGAATGTCAGAGAATCCCTAGAAGTTTGACATTCACGTCAGTCAGCAGTCGACAGATATATGGACATAGACTTAATCTACCAACCAATGAGAGAAATCGTAAATGACAGGAAGGTGAGAGGTGAAGTAGAGGAACAGCCAAGAGGAGAATCTATGCAGTCAGTCAATGACACAACAATCAAAGGAAACAAGGAATCACGAAGCAGTTGGTCATGTCAAGCTACTAAATCATTCATGGAGAGATATTGACAGCTCACTTGATGCTGAAGTTAGTGTTGATGATGTTGTCTAGAAAGATGATGAAAGCTCCATGACTAAACAACCCAGTTCAGATAACACAATACAACCAAGGCCATCCATCTTAGCTACAAATATTCTCCACTACTTAGAAGGATAACCATTGTCGAAGGTCAATACTACTAAGGATATTTGAAATCAAACCAAGAATGGTAGTTAAATTAAAATAATTTTCACTTACACAGCGATATAATACCATGTATCCTTATCAACATCTTCAACAGGTCGATGACAGAAACTTTCATTCTGACTCATCTCAAGGAATAATAAGTATGTAGCTGATACAAATTAATTGTAATTGAATTGAAAAATCAGTAATTCTAATCTTACTTGTATTGACAATACTTCTCACCTCTTCACTTGTACACGAGTTAGGCATACAAAGTCCAAGTGTTGTAGTCAACTGCTGTAAAATAAATTTTAGTTTATCGTCTATATGAAACGCATATATATTATATATTACCGGTACAATCGGTACTGAAATATTCAAGTAAAACACCATAGTACAATATGATCCTTGGAATTGTAACCCTCCTGTTGTATTATATCCTGCACATGTTAGACAAACATCATAACTTCCAGTCCAATGCATAGCACCACCTGTAATTCCTGCTGGTGGATGCGCTGAAGCATCTAACCCTGAATAGTAACGACTATTAGTATATAAATGTTAGAAAGCCAACATTGTAACGCCCAACTCTTTTTCTGAATTATTCCGAGGATAAGATGGCCAAGATCTCGTGAACATGTTGTTTCTGATTTCGGTAAAATCAAGTTGGTGTAGAGATTATTGACAAGTAGATGATTCAATGAGTTATTCAACTTAATGTATTGCTCATCAACTAATTTACGAAAATATCCATTTTCTCGAATCATTTCGACACCGCAACAATATTGAGATAGAATTATTAGACAGCATGTTAACCAGACAACCTGAATACTGTGTAACATATGGAGCGGTTAAATCATGCATTAATATTATTAAGGTGCATTTCTGTTCTGTTTACCAACATTCAAAGTATCAATGGAGTGCAAACGAGTATTGTTGTTTAATCTGTTTACATAAAAAAATTAACCAATCAAATATCACTTGCCTGTTGTATAATGTAAACATCCAATCAGAATAAATTGACCGCCCACACACTGTATATGATTAGAAACTCATCACATGATATCGATTAGATTGCTAAAGCCTTTTATAACATTATTTCAAATTTGAAAAAGTCAATAAATTATTGGATCATACATGCATGTTTTGATCAGTGAAGTAGTGTTGATAGGTAAAAATGAATAGGGTGAATTATTTTCCATTACACAGACATCATCAGACAACTCGAATTCTTTATACAGATTATCAATCATTTTGTTTGAGAGATGAATATACCCTGAGCAGTAATATTTTGTTCATTTTGATTGATTAAGTGACTGGTACCTTCATATCGATGACCGACTAAAAAACTCAATCATCTGATGAGGCTTCGTTTCAAACTCCACTAACTAGTTTAGTTCTAACTAATATAAATGATTCTTCATGAGAAGTACTTAATATGAAGTCTTGGATCTTGGCCTCATGGCGTGCACAATAAAAAGTTGAGAAAAACTATTTTTCTGTTTTCAAACAGTGTTGGTAATATAGAAATAAGAAATACTGGGTGGCATCAGAATCATGGGCACACGTTTCTTCCTATTCAAGACTCCTTTGCTATAGATGGTTTGACGGATAGCATTCTGACATTTTAGGCCACGGGTGTTGGGTTCCAGTCTCAGTGAGTACAACATTGATGCAGCTAAGGAATCTTGGAAACGATGGAGTACCATTCATCACTCATAAACTGAAATTACAGTGATTTAGCAGCATGCACGCAGGAGCTCACAAGCAAACTGCAACAGACCAGTTCATCTTGGCAAGTAACTATGGAGGAGCCAGTGGTTACCTCAGGAGAGTTGTAGTTGACACCGATTTTGTAAAATCTAGTTGAACAGTTGAACTCTCACTCATTGCATTTCAGATCTGGTGAATCATGCCTTGAGGGATCGCGAACTGACAGAAGTAGGAAAGTGAAAAACATTAGATTGTGATGCAGTGAAGGATTGGAAACGTGGGGGTGGCAAAGCTGGGCTTGGTTGTGACGGGGTCATGGGTGCACACAGCTAGGAAGTCAGTTTTCAGTTGTTCTCCAACTGATGTTGATCCATGATGAATACCAACTTGAAGTCTTTCGTTGTTTCACATTCCTTGATCCCGAAATTCGAATTTCCTTGATATAAAATTATGTCAATATTCTCCTACTGTTTTCCAGTGGCCATTCTGTCATACACTCAGGGAACTTATTATTTCACTTATTATGAGCTTCTCTAGTTCTGGTTCTTATTTATCCTTGAGTCTAGCTGTCACATATTATTTTCTTCAAAGTGAATTTTACATTTCAGACACAACACTGTTGCACTGCCTATTAGACAAACGGCACGATGGATAAATGTCTTGTTGAGATTTTCTCAGGATTTTAACCAGCAAAAGTTCCAATAAGAACTCAGTAATCTAAGATTCAACTTTGAATTAAGACATAACTCCCCGGATTGGTTGTTATTACGGTTAGCGGCTAGCAATAGACTGCAGAACGCGTGTTTCATCCTACTTGGAGCTCGTCAGCTGATTTTGTCTATTTTCTAGTGGGTGGTTTTACCTTCGCTATTATTTGGGCCTAGGCAATAACATAAATTCCTAGAGTCTATACGCTGGATTTGAGTAGGAGACAGCACTAAAGTAGTAACCAATAATCAAGGTTAATCAGATCAGAATTCTCATATTCTGATATATCTGGTTGCTTATTACGCCGGCAATGTCGGTGAGGAAGAAATGCACCACTATGTCAAATGAGTAAGGAAAGTCTGGACTGAAGTCTAGCGACAGTCAAGAATGACAGGAATTCGAATGCCAAGGGTAAGCAGAAGGAATTAAGACATACAAAACTCTACACAACGAGATGATGCGTGTTAATTAAACTGAACAGGGTAAAATAAATAAAGTGAGGGAATTACAAGAAAAGCAAATACGCTGAAGTGTTAATATGTTAAAATATACGAACAATAAAACTTGGGATACAGCATGAAAAAAAGTTAGGCATATATTTTGATGCTACTTATTATGTATGAGCATAAAACTAAAATGGAAAAAACATTGAGGTGCTGTTACAAAGTAGAAGGAACAGGTGAAATACATAAGCCACATTATCAAGTTTCACCCTGCTGCACACGATTCACTTGATTTTAAGAAATATTTTTCAATCACAAAAGAGTCATCTACCAATAGGAGTCAATCATTTAGGTCCAATCAACGACGGAGCGCTATTAGCTGTCATGACTTAGTGGTCTGGAAGGTAACTCCCTGCTGTTTGATGGAATGAACATTGAGTGTTAGTATCACTGAGAACAACATCCAGCTGACAGGTCTAAAATAAGGACGGAACGCGCATTTTAGATCACACTGGTGGCAAATACCCATCATCAATATCAAACTGAAAAAAACCTGCAATATTTGGGCATCCACATAGGAGCCCATATTTCAATAGTGGCTGATCAATTCGGTCCGTCTTATAGTGAATGTAAGTTAATTGACTAACGCTCCTTAAACAATATCCTTCGGTTACTAGATTCTCTAGGAGAAACCATATTGTCATTTCTTTATTTTGGTCAATACTTATAGCTTATTTTTGTATCTGTTACCGCTTTTCTTCAACTTAGGATGCTATTTTTCTTACTTCAATCATGCAGCACTAACCAAATATTTTGACTTGATGTTGACCGTCAACTGCAAGTGTTTTAACTGCTTGATTTAATTATGGAAGACAGATTAACCGGTGATATAAAAAACACTCAGTTTGATCAACAACGTTCTCAATGACATCAAGTTCAAAATGGAGAAAAAGTCAAACAACTAACCACCAGTCCTCAATGTTCTAGTCAGTAGAACAATGTGCCACGAAACTGGAAACACAAGTCGACAGCAAGCCAACACAAACTGACCAAATCCACAACTACAGTAGCAACAACGCAACAAAACACAAGATCAGTTGCCTGCAGACTCTATTCAGAAGAGTGAGAACAGTGAAGTACAACAACAAGTTCACGGAGAAAAGAAGAAAACTACGTGGTGCACATTCCTAAAGTAGAAGAACGGCTACCCACGAAAATTTATCACAACATGCCTATCACGTACATCACCAACCACTAAGTCATCGACAGAAATCAATAAACGCATCATCCTACCATACATAAAACAATATGTCAGAAATCACAACAAGATTACTCACACCACTTGGTGGAATTGGTGTGGCTCATAAACCAACAAATTACCTCCAAACACCATTAACCAGACCAGAGGACACACCAACCAGAGAACACAAACCAAACATCATTTACAAAATCAACTGCAATAACTAGATGTAGTCAACACTACATTGAACAAAGTGGTCACCCTCTTCACCCTCGTCTACATGAACGCCAATTGGCTATTAAACGTCACACATGACATTTCATCACTCATTTCAATCCACATGGATAACAACTATGGACATGAATTCACTCTCGACAATGTAGAAATCTTGGGCAGAGAGAGGAAACACAAAGAATGTCAGAGAATCCCTAGAAGCTTGACATTCACGTCAGTCAGCAGTCGACAGATATATGGACATAGACTTAATCTACCAACCGATGAGAGAAATCGTAAATGACAGGAAGGTGAGAGGTGAAGTAGAGGAACAGCCAAGAGGAGAATCTATGCAGTCAGTCAATGACACAACAATCAAAGGAAACAAGGAATCCCGAAGCAGTTGGTCATGTCAAGCTACTAAATCATTCATGGAGAGATATTGACAGCTCACTTGATGCTGAAGTTAGTGTTGATGATGTTGTCTAGAAAGATGATGAAAGCTCCACAACTAAACAACCCAGTTCAGATAACACAATACAACTTGGAAGGTACTAGTTTCACATTGGTTATTGCCAAAACAAACCTGCAGGTTATGTATTTTTGGTAGTGTATGGTGGTTGACCAGCTTTGGAAAACAACCAGAAAATTGGTAATTGTGTATGAAGAAAATCATGTGATTTGTTGACGCCCTACTTAGATTAAATTTTGAACGTGTTCATCTTCAGTCATACCATAATTTAAAATATCTCTGAAGGTCAGCGCTTTATTTGTTGTTTTTATTTAACTGTTTGTTACTCCTTATGACGATTGATAAACTGTAAATCTTCAAAGAAACGCTTTTTACTATCAACTTGTATGTGATTAGTTTTTGGAAGTAAATGAAGAAAATGCTGAATACATTTTCATTCACTTCTTTACAAATAGTTTACTGTCTCCTTTTAGTGTGGATTTGGTGTTCGCATAAGTAGCTTCTAGCATCAGTGCTGAAAGTTTACTTTTTTGCATACCTTTGATTTTCCACTAGAGCTAGAAATAAGTTACGTATCTTTTTTTAAATAAAAATCCTATTCACTTCATTCCATACAGTTTTTAGTACAGCTTGGAATTCTCCGCATGATATATTGCAACAACAATGAAGTATGTGTGTGTTTAAACTAGATGCTGGGTATAGTACAGTCGAATTCTTGTTTTTAGCTGTACGAGCTTATAGTCTCATGTAGTTTCTTCTTGCCTTCAATGAGGAGGTAGATTGAGAGAGGTATGAATGAAGTGGATGCTCGGTGTTAGTTAAAATTGTTGTAGCTAATTGCTTGCTAGAATTTAAATGTCTATCAACTACAGTGTTATTCAGTTGGGACAGAGACACAGCACTAACTCTACTGACGGCTTTCAAAGCCCTACACAATATAACATAGTCCTGTTTAAGAAGACCAAGAAAGATCAATGGGGAACCAAATAGAATAGGGAGTAGATAAAACGCAGGAATCAATAAATTGTAAAAGTAGAAGCAAAGTTACACCAC